GATTGTTCTCACCAGCCACTTGCTCTGCACAAGGCATCACAATCGATTTCACACCCTATCCAATTCTTGTCGTGCCTTCTGGAGAACGATCGAAATCAACGAAGGAGGGAGAAGAGGGAGATGATGTAGGAGAAGATAAAAGAGAAATTAAATTAATATTGACTGCTTGAGGGAACAGGCAGCCATCTAAATTCCTGGGCGTTAAAGGCATCACATGGGTCAGGTTAATCTTCCCAACTCAGTTATGCAACAGGAGGCTAGGAGACCCTGACAATGAGTTATATTGAGGGCAGCAGAAGATAGCTGAGTGATATTACTTCGGCCTCCCAATGGAAGAATAATACATGCCAGCATCATGGCCGATAGCTGATTTATCATTTTGTCCTTCCCTGAATTATAGCTAACTATCAGGTGCTTGAACCTTAATTATTGTGCAGCTCCCTTCCCATAAACAACTCACGCGGTATGGCCCCCAGTCAAGTCATGTGACCAAAAACCAGGATGAGACAGGCAGGAGAACATTCCTTTTTAATCAGTGCTACACAAACATTGCGGCAAGAGATAATGAAATTTTCAAACTATTTGTGTGGCTCTCGCGCGCCAGCGTGTCCATCGATTCCCGGATAACAAGCTAAATTTTGAAGATGGGCCCCACGGTGGGAAACACAGCATGTGCAGATGTATGAAGACACCAAGCTAGCATTGTTAGAGGAAAACCACACAGCGGCAAGTATTTTTCCAAACCCCCACCACGTAGCCTTCCCCTGCAAAAAGAAAGCTTCCCTTTATGGGTGGTCTGAATTTGGCTTCCTGCTGCAAAAAAGTAAAGGTGAGGCACACAGCCATCTCAGCATTATACGGTTCATCTTCATTATATCTCTGCTAATTAGGTTTGTTTTTCTAGAGCTTTCCTTTTAACAGTATTTTCTCTCTGAAATTTCTCTCCAAAGCAAGCCCCAAACAGATTTACGGCTACATGCCTTTTTAAGCACCCTAAGCCATGCTCATTTTAAGAGTCAGTGCACACAGTATGGCAACCCTTCATGATTCATGAGAGCAAAGCAACCCTCACTGTTGATTTGCGCATCAGAGCTGCTGCGCCCACAGTGGCCAATCAAGCCTGCGAGAACTCATCAGGATTCTCGCAGAGGTGCCCAGGATAAAGCGTCTAACTCAAAGGCAGAAAAACAGGCCCACCCAGCTGGGATTTGTACCTGCCCACCCTTCAAGGCCACTGTCCACAGCACAGAGGACAGGATACACACGCACAAACACGCACCCACCCCACCTCTGTCAGTCCGACACACACACTGAAGCTAATGGAGCTGACAACATCCACTGGGCGACAATACACAGATTGGGTGTAACTGACGAATTACCCCAGATTCAAATATCTAATTTAGTCTCCTTAGCGAATGGAGTGTGGCAATCAAAAAGATAATGAGATTTAGAATGAAAGCTGCATAGTTGTAAAACTAATTACCCTCTGCTGAATTCCTAGCTATTCCTATTGTGATATGATTATTAGCAGTAACACAATTAATGATAGATTTTGAAGAGTTAGCGCACTGAAGCTTCGTTCCTTCATGCTCAATTTAGTTATTTGCAGCTGGTAGAGATTAATTATGTATGTTTCTGTTGTTAGACCTTAAAGTCCACTCTTAATAATAAATGCTGCCTTCTCCCAATTTTCATATTGTTATTTGTACAACAACTGGGAGAAAGAACAGTGATGTTCAGGGATAAAGTTCCTTGTCAGAAAAGCATTTCTTTTAAAAGAAAAAAAATTTAAAAAATAGGCCTACCAGTTCCACCTCCTGGTTTATATATGCATAACATCAAAACCTGGACTCTTCAAGCATCTCTAGAAAAAAAAAACATCAAAAGCGTGTCTTTTTGGTTGAATTTGTACACAAGAAGCCTTAAGTGTTTTGCATTCCACAATCTTTTTGACATTTATAATTATGGGTAATCATGTCTTCATTATTCAAATGGGTTATTATGGTGAATCATAGTTTTCTTTTACGCGAATTCCATAACAGCTGTTGATACGTGTCTTTCAAGGTTTTTACCAAGCTTTGTATTCGATGTGTATTCTCTAAGTAAAAGCCTTTCAATACGGTTAAATAAAATAAAACATTCAGGTTTAATGTTTCCTGTAAATCCTCATTGTTCCTTCATATATCCCAGATCTCTCCGATAAATTAATTGTGTAAGTAAATCAAGGAGTCCGATGTTCTCCCATGACATATTTTCAATCAAGTTAAATTTGCATTCCATTTACATGAGATTAACTTTCTTTTCCGTTTTGGCTTCTCCGTCTGAGTAACCTGTGTAAATTTCTAAATAAAAATAGTTGGGTATGTTTTTCTTATTATGTTTTATCATTTCTGTGTTACACCAATTCTCTCTTCTAGCTCTCGAAAAAGGCGGGTTATCACTGTCGAGAGCCATTGCAGATGCTGTGAAAAATACCCACAAGTCGGTTTTGGGTGGTAACACGCTGTTAGGAATGGTGAGGAGAATGATAAATTGTACTTGTGACCATAATTTCGTGTAGTTTACAAACAAGAAAACCATAATGAAATAACCCAGACTTACACTTCGCCTCTGGTTGATTATTCCTGGGAGGCGCGACTCATCATTTGGCAAACAGCGCCCTCTATTCGTCATTCACTGCTGCCGCTTCTCGTAACGGCTCATTTGGCGCGCGCGGGAGGTAACTGCGCCCCAGAGCGTCACGCTACGTGCGGTAACGTCAATATGCTCGAGCCACGGCAACGCGACGTTCGTTGCTGAGGGGATTTACTTGGTTTCATCATCTCCTTTTAATTTTAAGCAAGTATAGGCGTGTGGTAACAGTACTCAGGAAAGCCGTATGTTTGATAGTAATGGAGATTTTTCTGAAGCTGGCTCCTTCCTTGTGCCTTGAAGCAAGTCACACCGTTACTAAAACTTGATGACATTGCTGAAAGTTTAAGGATAGGAACCTGGAAATCTTCCAAAGGAATAGACACAAAAGCTGGGGGAGAGAATAAAGAATATTCTTATCTGTAATTAATTATATTTTTATTCTCGTTTTTCTGTTCATTTTCCCGCCAACAATACCCTTTTGTTCATCGTACGGCATCTGCAAATTAAATTGTGTTATCAATGGCAGAAAGAAAATACAGAGCAGACTGAAAAAGGAGAGAAGGCAATTTAGCGACTTTTGGACCCGCATCTTTTATTAGTGACACTCCTCATAAGTTTGTGGAGTTCTTTGCTGTGTGTCGTGAGGACCAAGAGAGAGCAAGATTCAGGTCAGGTAAGGTGGAGAGAAGGTGAACAACTATTGAGCCCTTCATGTCAGACAAGTGAGGTGGTATGGGTGCTAATTTCACAGTCTGACAGCTGATCGATACATAATTAAATTGAGGGCATGAAATCAAAATAGGCAGAGAAGATTTGTCTTAATGCCACAATCAAGCGAAATAGTAAGCCGCCCAGTTCTGATCTCCGTGCACCTACGGTACAGGAAAATGGGTCAAACTGTGCACGTGCATCGTCAGCTGTCATGCAAATCCCTCCTACCCAAAGACGGGTCAGCCTAAAAGATCCTGGATGAAATATCCTTAGGGGCAGATCCCTAGAAAAGTTGAATCGCCCCTTGTTGACCACATATGGAATTGCTGCCTTTGTAAACTATTTTGACACAAAATTCACGCGCAGTAATAGTAGCATGTGATGACCGTTAAACATTTACCGAGGCATTTGCAGGGAATTACAGATGACAGCTTTGCTGTCATGGGACTAATTACCTTCAAGCGAATTTTATTTAATAGTGATTGGGACCAATTTATGCATGACCAGTTCAATTAGCAAATAAAGCATGTTTGGTGTGAGAATGATTAGCTTGGTAAAGGCTGGAGGCCCTGGGCTATTGTTATTGTTAATTGTATAATGGTGACACTGCAGCCATCAGTACAGCCATGATTAAAGAACAAATGGGGGAATATTGCCACATTTATTTCATACTTCAATCCATTTATTCCTTTTTTAGTTATCTGTCTCAGGACATGCTTATAAAACAAAGTATCCGGTAACTGACGATCTATAGGGAAATGGCCATTAAGACGTGTGACTCATTCCGTCAGCCTTTATTAATGAATGATTGTTCACCACCGTGACAAACAAAGCAAGATAATTGCTTGAAGGGTCTGTCAGCCCCGTTGCTATGTTATCAGAAGACCCTATCCCAGTATTGAAAGCTGTCAGTCTTTTATTTGAAAAAAAAAGAGATGTTATCTCCTTCTTCAATAGATGCGAAAGTGGCCATTCATTTTTCTTTTGTACTAGACAAGGCAGCACCGTCGGTCCTTCTTTGTCTTCACATTAGATGAGAAGGTCCCAGTTTTTACCTTTTCACAGTCCAGATGTGGTGTGTTTTTTTCTGCTTGGGCATTCCTGATATAAACAATGCTGCCTCAACAAGCAACCATGTAATTTAATGCCTGCTTTAGACAAGAACAAGTGTACGGCAACTTCTACATTTCATATTTTAAAAGAATTCAAAAGAATATCAGTAGTTTCCAACCTCAATGAAGATCTCACAGCATGCTGTAAGAAGTCTTAATCAAACTGCTTTTTGCTTTGTAGTTTACAATCCTTATATTTTTCACTTTCAAAATCCTGTTAGCAAAATTAGGAGCATTTATATTACAAAAGACAATATGAGATGGAAATACTTTTTAAAAGACTGATAAAAATGCAAGAAATATTATATTTCCTAGGCTGGCAACTGGATGTTTGGGTACCTGGATTACATGCAACTGAAAGCTAATGACGTAATAGTAGGGAGGACCAGCAAAAATGGAGGGTGAAAATTCTGTACCACGTCAAATACACCATAAACCCCCCCCTCAGAAATACCGAAAACCACACAATGCGCCAGCATTTTTTCTTGTCCCTTTTTTGTCACACTTAGTTCAGGACCTACTAATGTGTCTGACGGGTGGACGTGTTAGAAATGGAAGTCGTTCATCACTCAAATGACACGTCGATTTAGAATTAGACGTAAAGCGCAGGAGTAATTTATCAAGCCGTAACTTTTCCCTGGGAAATAGGCTTTTGGGACATAACGGTGAAAAAGGAAAACGCAATGTCATTAGAGCTTATAGTTCTGTCGGTTTTTAGCTGTGCTTTACGTATTTCCTTTCTAGGTTTAGTTTAAGTATGATCCGTGTTTTTCATGCTCGTGTATTTGTTTTCTTTTCTGTTACAGTGTATAATTTAATCTAATAGGTTGCCCTTCTGCTTTGCCTAATAGTACTTAGCATTGCATTGCATTGTAGCGGTATTTGCGTTTGGGTCCACAAGATGGCAGACTTGTGTTTTTCTCTTCTACTTCGCTTCCATGTGTACGGAGAAACCGTTCTCTCGACGTCCTGCGTGTAGGTGAAACTTCGGAAGCTTTGTGTGATATTTTAGTTCTCGAGGAATTTGGTGGAATATATTTAAATTTGAGTTTTCCTTGCTAACTAAATTTATTCGTAAATCCTTTCACATTGGGTTTAATGGGGCGTATCACGGTTTTGATGTGCTAGTTAGTACGCCTCTAGACTACAATAGTTAAGTAACTTCTTATAAATGGTATTTTTTTTTATAACCCTCAACTCTGAGCAAGATAAGCGGCTGGAAGATGAATGGATAGTTTGGATAAAATGCAGTGTCCCGTAGTGCTTTCAAATATGATGGGAGACCCTTTCCTATTAAGTTCCCTTCTCTGCGCGTCCTCGCAGGTTTCCTTGTCCCGTGGCCTCAATTCCTGCGCGCTCCCGAGCAACAAAAAGGTCTCCTTTGCGGGTGTATTAAACGGACGGGATTTGACAGACGACAGGAGATCTTCAGATTTAAAAGGAGTCCGCCGGATACCGTATACAAGTTTGGGACACTTTAAAGGCGTGCATTTGTTTTTTATTTTTATTTCGTAAAATGCCTGCTTTCGCCACAAATACCCTTTTTCATTAATTAACCAGTATCTGCTTTATGCGCATGCATTGTTTTATTGTCTTTCGTCGTGGGCAGGACTTTGTTGAGCACATCTGCATCCATTTCATTAAATCTTGAATTAAAAGTACGTAGCGCACGGACGGGTGAACGAACTGGAAAGCATGTCTACGCGACTGAATTATATCGCACCGTGGTGGATATACTGGCTTCACAATTTCCCACACCTTAACCTGAGTTTCCAGTCTGTTGACAGCAGCTTCAGACCGCAGGATGAGGACTATCAGCAGGTGAGTGAGGGTGGGGAGGTGAACCTAACTATATATTGGCTGCGAGGTGCCAGTCATTCCTGGTAAATGAGTGGGGAAATTGCGTTTGTGGAAAGAAAAAGAAAACCTCCAAATATAGAAGTATTCCAATAAATGAAAGTAGATCAGCTCATTCTATTCCGTGAAATGTTTTGTTCTTATGCTAATTATAATCGTGGAAAAAGAAAATCGGACGCGTTTCTGAACGTTCCTTCGTTCTCTGCGTGTATGTTGGCTTGTGCAACACCCATCCTCAGAAAAAAACTCTTCTTCCCCCCGATGTATGACTTTTTTGTCGTTGTTTAAACTCTGGGACATTGCTTAAAATTTTCCGCTGTCTTTCAGGACCGAGTGTTGTATCTTTCCCCGAGAACAGCACGGTTCCAGCTGACTTTTAAAAATTACATTAATCAAGCAGTGTCTGCCTGTTTACTGGAATCAGGAATGTTTTAATTTAATTTTTCCATATATTTATTGACATCTATTAACACTATTTTGACCCCACTGACCGCCCACCCCCCGAAGAATTAGCATGCGTGTTGTATTGGATAGATTATAATCATGCTAAATTATACCTGTTAACCTGTCCCATCCCTAATTTCGAAAGGCTAATGGTGGCAGTGATGTTTAATTAAAGTCATTCTGCTTTACCGTGTGGAAAACACGAATGAAATTGTAAACGGATGAAATACGAGGCGGGCATTAATGACCCAAAAAAAAACATTTAACAGTAGCAGGAGCAATTGAGACAGGAGTTTAATGCACTTAGAGTAAATTCTTCAAGAGTCTTGGTAATCCTTTTTCTTTAATTTGGGCCCACCACAGTGGAACGCTCGCCAGAGTCACTAATGCGAAGTGCGCGCATGCAGGCTACCCGAAGGAGCTGAGGGGAGGTTTTTGTCTGGCCTAGTATAAATTGGTTTCCCCATTTCTGGAAAAATCATCCTAGAACATGCCTCCCAACACTAGGAGTTGGGGGTCTGCGACGATAAAGTTTTCTGAAGGAAAAATCGAGGATTTATCGCAAGGCTCTTCAAATCTGGTTTTCGATCCCAAATCCAAGCCTTGTTTTCAGTTCTCCCAGGTAGTTAGTTTAATAATTACTGATTCTGATTGGTCAGAGGCTTCACACCTGGGTCACAGATAAAGGAAGGCTGGAAAACCAGCAGTGCTCGGACCTCAAGGACCGTGATTTGAATAACCCTGGTTTATGGGAATAGAAGGTCAATTGGGAGGAGGGGTAGAAACCTGTGACTGAAACCTGGCACTAATGTCACAGTAATGCTGAGGCTTAATGCTTATGCCTGATGGCACGCTGATATGTGTGTGTGCACTGGGCTCCCATTGGTCTGATGTGGAGTTTAATGGTTGTTTCATATTGAAAATCCTGTGTAGATCAGTGGTTTCCTGTAATGGCTGTTTGCCAGTCATGTGACCTGACACACGGCAGGCAGTAATTGCTGTCAAATGCATATGTGAGTTTAAAAAACCCATGCAGTTAGCGGTGGGATACTCACAAATTTGTTGTCAGCTGGAGCTAATTTGATGCTGCACACATGGTTAAACTCCGTGGCATTGTCCATGTGCGTGGTGGCTTGGCTGGCATGCTGAAAAGATTTTTTTCAGACTCCCCATGACTAAAATTTCAATTAAATTCATCGCTGCTGCTTTAGTGGTTCAAAAGTGTTGCATTTTGTCGGGTGTTGAACTGAAATTACAGCTAGTCTGAAAATTAGAGGTTGCACAAAAGAAGCGATTTGTAGGTGAGGGTATATATATATATATATATATATATATATATATATATATATATATGCATTGTATTGTGGAAAGACAAAATACTGATTTTTATCATTCTTAAGTATTGATGGTTGTTTCTGTTGAATATTATTGAGTGACATCTCCGTTGGGTTGGTGAATAATTGAAATTGATTGAGACTGTTTAGATGAGGGACTGCAAAAATTGGAGAGCAGTCTATCTATCAGTGTGAAGTGCAGTTGGAGGGACGGGTAAATCCAGACTTTAGAGAGGGATATTGAAAGCACCAGTTTATGATGCCAAATGTTGGTGGGAGCTTGGATGGGACCCAGCAGGTTCTTGGAAGCTTGTCCTGGGAAGAGTGTCATGATGTCCCCTAGACTGTTGATACCTCTTCCACCACACTACAGGGTGTCTCACAAGCTTCAATGAAGGTGTTACTAGATTAAGTACTTTGGCATAAAAGCTTCTATGGCCAGTTTGGAAGGCTGATTTTACCATTTCTGTCCTTCCTGTTGGTCAGGGCTTAGTTACCTGTCCTGTCACATTCTCGTCACTTAATGATATTGTTACGAAATGATATTGTCAGAAATGCTGCCTACCCTACCACATGGCACTTCTCGCACTTGCAATGTACTCACATCACATTTCTGATGTGCCGGCGAGTCTTGAGCCTGTTGCAGAGCGGGATTTCAGTTTGAATTAATTCCACCCAGCCTTGAAGAGCTGTCTTCAGACTCAATAAGGCAGGCCTCCAGCTCTGCTGCTCTCCAGAAGAATGTCTACATACTACCATGGAGATTCGTCTCTGCCTCCTGCATCTGGTGCAGTTGTAGGCACAGGAGTGGTTCTCTCCTCTCAAATTCTCTCTCTAGTCTGTTTCCTTTTTCGCTCCCTGTGATATACAGGATCCATGGCCAGGAGAAGGGTCCCTCCAGCAGTGCATGAACATAGCTTCCCTGAGAAAAAGACTGCTCATGGTCAGGGGTGGTATGGAAGGAGTCACGTGGCTGATTTGAACATGTAGAAGATGCTCATCAACCACTGAAGCCTTGAAAATCTGCTTCACGTTGTACCAGTATAGTAGAGCTTGGTATTGGCACAGATGCCCTGATTCAATTCAGATTCACAAGCTAACATTTCGATTCAATCCAGTTCGATTCTGAATCGATTTCAGTCCAGTAGGAATAAGATATGAAATATTATATAGCAGGTTTCCATATTTGGTGAGACATTTAGAAAGCTCTAAATGGAAACAAATTTACAAATGCTGAGTCAGTGAAAACCACTAAAGAAAGGAAAAAGGCTTGTATACCAAAATCTTTTTTATCTGAGAACCATATGGATATAGCTCCTTAAAGACAAAAGCAACCAATCTCCATCTAAGCACAAAAAATGACTTTTGACTGAAAGGAATAGCTGAAAATAGAAATGGGCAAGTGTAAAACTCACAAGCAAAAACGTGTGCCAAAACATAATTTAGAACCTTTTTATCGGAACCACATCCAGGTATTGTTTAGGGCTGGGAATCGGCCATGACCTTACAATTCGATTAACACGTGCCCTATTGGATTCTATTTCTACATTTGACATGATCTAACCTGATCTGTTGTAAAAACAGCAGGCACATCACTGTAGTATTAACTGAAAAGCAACATAGTTCCTTATTATATAACAAAAATACAAGAATGGAAAAACAATATATAACGTGTATATATATAACGTATGAAATTTATTCTTGAATTTACTCATGAATACACCAAATTATTCCATCCACACTTTTCCCTCTGCAGTTCTTATACTCAGCCCGAAATTAATACCTGCTTCACTACCCCTTTTCTCTCTACATCATTTGCATTTATTTAGTTTTATTTATTTTGAATTTACATATATCGTGTCACCATAAGCAGTGCAATGAAAATGAGTGATGTAAGAATAAAGCCCTACTTGACTTGACTTGCTTGCATTCACGTGCTCAGAGTACTCCATTACCATGACTGACAATGCACCAAGATGGCGGCACAAGGCAATTGTGCAATACTGTTGCAACTCTCCTATAGGTGAGAAAGTAGTGCCACCTATGCAACAAGAGGCCCGATGCAAGTGAAATGCAGTAAAAAATATTTTCGAAGTTATGGGGAAAAGGCATAAATTCATTAGATTGATCTTGGGATTTTGCAAATCAATAGTGAATTGTCAAAACTAGGGTCATGATTTATCAGATCACCACCATCTTGTCCATTTCAACAAGTTGGATGGTGATGATGCAACCTGCTTCGTTAAGTCACGCTTTAGACCCTGTTAGCGTGCAGGGCCATGTCAACGCGTGAGTACGGCTCTTTTCCCCCATATGTCTCTCAAAGACTTGGAAAACTGACATAGATACAGCGCAGGTGTTTCAATAACCTTGGAGGTGAGATTCCATGAGAATTTGTCCTCCCCCTCTCCTCCCCTATTCCCTTTTCGGGATTTTTATTTATTTATTTATTTATTTTGGTCACACCCCTCCTTGACCTTATCTATGATCTCACAGTTACTTCAAACAGCATGCTTGCCAAATGACGTCTTGAAGAGGTGGAACAGTGGGACTCAGAAATCCTCAAAGGCACGAAGATACGTAATTCACATTCGTTAGATCCCAGAGAGATTTGAAAGAGCAAACTTCCAAAACTCTTTTGTTTTTCTTGTTTTCGAGATGAGACCGCCAATGACCTACAGTCAGGATGAATTACAGTATTCGGAACCAAAACTCACCCAGTCCTCATGTAATACAATGAAGGACTTTCGTTAAATTTCTGTGGACTGAGTGAGTTTTATAAATTTGCTCTTCATTTGCAAGTGGGCTTGTAAGTGTTTGTTCTGTGAAGAGGAACACGCTGAAGCTTTGAAATAGTATTTACTGTCTTGTTTATGGTACTATTTGTAGTTCAGATGTTGCAGTTGACTGTAAACCTTGCAAACATGCCAGGTTGCACTTTTTTGGCTTCCAGGAGCGTGACTTCCTGACAACTGGTCAGCCAATAGCAAGTACATCATTTTCCCAAGGATGCGTTTGTTTTTTCCCCATTCTTTTTTTTCCCCAGGAAGTCTGTCATGCCTGTGCTCACAGCATGAGCTGTAAGACTGACAGGATTCACCTGCCCCAACAGAACAACAACAAAGGAGTGCGAGCAATTTACAAACATTTCATGGTGGGTGGGAATTTGACTGACGCCTCGGCCCAGTGAGGGGAAGGCAGTGAGCCAGTGGCTAAAGAAGCACCGACCCAGACCTCACCTGGGCTTGGTGGGACACAAATAAGCTGAATCAACATCAGACATGGATCGAACAGGAAGGGCAAAGGCCATATAGCCAATGTCAGTGGGGAGCGTCTCCTGTGGAGGGGACTCAGAGCTTGATCTAACTGCTGTTTTGCCCCAAACTCTGCCTGGCTCTGTGGAGAAAGCAGCTACATGACAGATCAATGTTGTTTTCGAGCAGGGCAGTTGGATCAGAGAGAGAAGCATTTCTGTTGAAAATGAGGAGAAACTGAGCTGGTTTGCTGGACCCAGGGTCAGTTCAGATTGTACAGTATGTCCCTAGGCGGCGGTCGATTTCAAATTATTGTTTATTAAGGAACGCAGCTTCTTCAAAGCCAAACCATAACTTGGTATCTTGTATTGAAACATGTTAAAAACATTCCCTTCTCTGCTTTTTTCATCTACTGCCTTTTGTTTTCCCTCTTTCTGTCAGTAATTATTTTTTTGAATGATCTCCCCACACACACACACTATGTCCTGCCCCCAGGAACACATATCCATACCACCACCATACATCTTCTGCGGGAAGCTGCTGTCTGTCTATCGACCGTGCTTCAATCTTGGCCGACAAATCTAGAGGGTGCTTCCACGATTAATTTTGCACCACTTTGGTCAATACCGCCCCCCCCCCCACTCCACCCCCAGCTGAAAGGTGATAATTGGCCTCTACCACGTCAATCAAGCTACCCTGGCAGCAGTGTGAATGTCAGGCTTGCTGGGCATCTCCGTAAAAGCGCTACCCTGGCTCACACACACACACGACATAGGCAGTTTCTTTTTATAATTAAATCGTTGCATTTTATAGCAGAAACGTCAGTGGTGATTATGGGGGGAGGGGGCGGGTCAGCTAAAACAGTACCCATATTGTTTTACTCAGAACCTGAAATTGCACAGCTGGTAATCAGATTAGGAGTCATGGTATTTTCTCACCAAGAAACAGACAGTGGATGTCAGTTCAATGGCGCTACATCCTGTGCTTTTTTTTTTTTTTTTGCCAAAGAACCAAAAAAACTGGTGATGACTGTATGGATCTGGGTTGCTGTACTGATGTTCTTATCGTGAAGTGAAGGAGTGTTCCACAGACCTCCAGAAACGCATTCAAATCTTCAGTAATGTATGTTAATGAACGAACCCCCCTCGTCCCCACCGCTAGACTCCTTTTACTTCTGACTTTCTCTCCCCCCCCCCCAGTCACTAATCGTCCTGACCTGCATGGCCGCCATCGGCCTGGGATTGAACCTGCTCCTCCTCGCCGCCTACCTCACCTGCGTGTGCTGCTGCCAGAAGGACGAGGATGACGAGGAGAGTAAGAGGCCCGGCTCCCGTTGCGTCAGCTGGGTCTCCATGCTGGCTGGGCTCGTCATCTGGTGAGCGCGGGGCCTATACTGTCCACTCAGTCTCCTAGCATGAAACATGTTTAAAATGTTTAAAAAAAAATCATGTATAGCCAATGTGATTGGAAGTCCAGCCAATAGGCTCTCTACGTCCATTTCTGCTAGTGTTGCTTTATTCCATCATAATACTGGACAGCACAAAATAACTAAAGTGCAAAAATAAGTACATTTCCAGCGCATTGCATCACAATTTATGAGAAATGTATTGGCAGATACCTGTTGAATGAGAGTGGATGGGTAAATGATTTTTCCACTGAGGAAAACTATTTTTTTCTCATTTTTCTATTCACGACCTCTCCTTACCTCCTCCCAAAATGTTCCGGAGCTCCTTCCAGATGGTTCCTCTCCTCCAATGTTCTTGCTTCGTGCAGCCTTACTCTTTCTAGAACCGAAAAGGAAGGGCAGGCGCCCGCTGGGCCTCGGATGCAGATGGATCCAAAGCGCCATGTGGTCAGGAGCTTCAGTCCATGGAGAGAGACGCTCTCTCGCACTCAAACACACACACACATACACACACACACACACACACACGCTAACACATTTTAACAATACACGTTATTGACGAGGTAGCAAGCACTTCACTGACTGACAAGTTCTTTGTCCCTACAGTTATAAAGCCCCTGTGCCACCAGCCCAAAATCTTTTTCCTAAACCTACCTTTGGGAATTTGGAGTCTCTAGGAGAAAATGAACTGAAGCAGATTAGCCAGCTTGAGACTGAGCGTTTTGCCACGTTTCACATGCGACGGCAGAGATTTGGCTTGTGTACGGGATTAGTAAGATCGGCGAATTGGCCCAGTAAATGGCTGAAAGCATCTTCAGTTCAGCAGCCGTGGGTTGGCTGATTTCTCTGTGTACGGTGTTCCGTTGCCGGAATTGTTAAACCAGGGTTGCATTTTTTCCAAGCAAAGAGCCATAGTGGAGACGCCACACGGCGATCATGTTAAAACACACACTGCAGTCATGCTGTCGAATCCGCTGCCTTTCTGCTCTTGAGGGGTGCCCCCCCCCCCCCCCCCTCTGGCAAGCCCACCCAGGTAGGATTTTTCATAACAAATGGGGGGCCCCTAATAATCAGCACAATGTGCTTAATTGAATAATGGTGGATCCTGCATCCTGCTTACTGTTAGACTGGCAGCTAGGTGAAGCATTTCAATTGGAATATGGGTGTTTGTTGTTATTTCCGGGCCTATAGAAAAAAGGCAGCTCACCATTTAATGGGTCATCACAACCCTTATTCATCACATTGGTCTGTCATTAACGTTGCAGATGCACAGCCTAACCCCAAATTATCAGAACATCGCAGCAATTGCTACCGAGCCCTTCGTCTTGCATCTGCAGCCACGTTGGGTCAGGTCTGCTTCAGTTGTAAGCAGTGCGCACCAATCACACATGAGAACTTGGTTCAACCCTCTCTGCATATGAGTGGAGAAGACACAGGATATTTCATTGCCATAGTTACCGCTGTGTGTTTTGCTTTTCCAGAATAATTTACGTTCATTCATCTGGCAGACACTGTTGTCCGAATCAGCATACAGGTAGGGCAGATGATGCATAACGAACATCAGGCTGTCAAGCGGCCATCTTAATACAAGGGCTGATAGGCTGAGCTTCCAGAATAATCTTGTACACTTTGCAGATAGGGTGTTACATGTGGTGCTGGAAAGACATTTTCAGTTAAATGTGAATGTTGTCATTTTTATGTTTACTGTCCTCTCTAGCTGGATTATTTGTTAACTAACTTGCTGGGCAAATAATTATCTTCGATTATAATCATGCCCTTTGGTGACATCAAAAAAATTTATGTTTTTTTTTTTTTTAAATATCAGATTAACAATAATATTGATTATGCAACATCCCCCCCAGCTGTGTTGTCTTTTACTGTCACAGCAGCAACACTAAAATAATAACACTAAAATAACAACACTAAAATAATAACACTAAAATAACACTAAAATGATATAATTACCCTGACAGCACACATGCCTTGGCACAGTGTCTCCACGATGCTTGAAAATCCATCGGCAAAGCATCTCTGTCACAGAGACACCGCTACTGAATATTGATTCAACATTCCCCCCATGTCTGCGCCCTGTATTTCAGCAACAGTGCGATGTTAATGAGATCACTGTACCACGTTTCGTCTACTGTTGTTTTTCCCGATTAGGCTATATAACCCACAATAGGTTTATTCACTCTCTCTCTCTCTCTCATATATATTTTATATATGTATTATGTAATATAGACAGACTTGCATATACACACAGCATACAGTAGATTTGTTCCATTTACCCTGCATGTAAATGGTGCATGATCATTTAATCTTAAACCAATGTCCCGGCGACGTATGTGTGCTGTCTGGGCATGTGTGCATTAATAAGAGAACTGAAGTAACGCAAAAGTTACTTTCCTTAGTAACAAATTACTTTTATATGTAGTAATTGGTAATTGAATTACTTTTAAATGAAGTAACTAACTAATTACTAATTTTCAGTAATTTGAACGACCCTGGTGTCGAATAAGGCTACTTCCCCAACAAAGGCGATAACTGCAACACAGTTACTATTTTCAACAATTACCGGTAATATTGTAGAATCACACAAGTCTAGTGCACTGTTACTTTGTTTAATTTACACTATATCAGAAATGTTTCCAGCACCTCACTGGCAGTGTTGTGGCCTCACACATCCAGGGTCGAATGTGCATCAACTGCACCCTCTCCGTGTGCCGCGTTTCGACATTTCCCTTGTTTTCTGCCTGGCTTTAATCCCAGAACTCGCCCCCCCACACCTGCAAAGAGGGCATTCATGAGTGTGTAGGCAGTAGATGTATCAAATCTGATCAGATCACTGGCGAGAAGCGACCCGGGTTGCCAGATGCAGGCCTCTTCGTGAGATAACTGGCCCAGTTAGGGTCCTGGCGTGTCGGGGGTCTCAGCTGCAGATGTGTCCTTTCAGGCCCATTAGAGCGATTTACTAATCAATACCTCCATGTCCCAGAGGGATGTCCACAATTTATCACTGCCCCGTTTAGCCAACAGGTGGCTAGTTATGGTCCTGTGATCTTCTGCTTGTGAATCTTACCTTGGAATAAGATGTCATCTTCCAACTATGGACTTAAAGCAGCAAATGTTTAAACTTTTTTGTTTTGATGATTAAAGTAAAGGAAAGCTAAGACTTAAATGTAGGACTTGTGAGCAGTATGGTGGTAATGAAAGGGAGCATTTTTGAGCTTATGACGCACTGCAGATGATTCCCATCAAGAGAACAATGAATGAATCTATTCAAACGCGGTTGGGGTTTCAGAAGATCTCTAAGGAAACCTTTCAGTTGGCACAGTGCTCTTGTCCTTATCATTCTTCCTGTTCCTGCCTGGGCTGTGAGCTAGTCTGGAATTGTGAAGGAGGGGGTTTTTCTTTGAGAGGAGGGGGAGGCCATGCAACGATTTCACCTCTGACCTGTCAATGTATGAACTGATTTGTCTCTCATGCCTGGGGGGGCTGTCTAATTCATTAACAGTGGGATACCCTGGAAGTGGGGCACAATCAAGGGCTGACGTTCTGCTAAGTATTTGGGATTGATAATAGTTAATTATTCATCAAAGTCTTCAGGCATAGGAGTGAGTACTAGATGAAGATAAAGGCTCCAGCTTCACAAATACACACCACATTCATAATCATCAATGTTATGTCCCAATAACAGGCATTTTGGCCTCCTGCAGATTTTTTTAAGGCTTGATGGACCGAATGGGCTCCTCTCGTTTGTAAATTTCTTATGTTCTTATGCTCTAACAGTGATGGACCTAGATGGACTGAGGTCATCTTGGGGTAGTGGTTCTGCTAGAGATTATGATAAATGTCACTGGAATGACCCCCTGTGGTGTTCTGCGTTTCTCCTCAGCGCTGGTCATGCCGAACCAGAAAGCAGAAAAGGCAGTGAAGAATTACATCACGTGGAAATGCTCTTTCCAAGCCACTTACAGTTACATTTGAGTTAATCACCACTCTTTTGTAGTGTGAGTTCTCAGGCCCTATGGAGCGTACCTGTCATTCTGTTTATTTGTTTTAGTGATTAAAGCAAATTGGGTTCTGGTAAAAAAAAAATGTGATTGGTTAATTAAATGACTATATAGGTCAGGGTTCTCTGTGGGCCAGTCAAGTTCTTCCACACCAAACTCACCCAACCATGTCTTTATGGACCTTGCTTTGTGCACTAGGGCACAGTCATACTGGAACAAAAAAAGGCCTTCCCCAAACTGTTCCCACAAAGTTGGAAGCATAGAATTATCTACAATGTCTTTGTATGCTGAAGTGTTAAGGTTCCCTTCACTGGAAGTAAGGGCCCAACCCCTGAAAAACAACCCCATACCATTATAACTCCTCCGCCAAACTTTACAGCTGGCACAATGCAGTCAGACAGGTTACTTTCTCCTGGCATCCAGCAAACACAGACTCATTTGTCAGACTGCCAGGCAGAGGAGCGCGATTCGCCATTCCACAGAACACATTTCCACTGCTCCAGACTCCAGAGGCAGCATGCTTTTACAGTACCAAGCATGAATTCACTGAGCTCGTCAGAACAACCCATTCTTTCACAAATGTTTGTAAACCTGACACAATGGCTAGGTGCTTGATTTTATACACCTGTGGCAATGAGTCTGAATGGACGACCAAAATTCAATGATGAATAGGTGTGTCCCAATACTTTTGTCCGTAGAGTGTATATGGAATGACTGAGCGTCTCAAAGGAGGCTTTTGACAATCTGTGCATTACTCTCTGTTGACGTATGACATGAGTTCACTGGCCCTTTAGCACAGTGATTCCCAACCCAGTCCTGAGGACCTTCAGATGATCCACATTTTTGCTCCCTCCCAGCAAATGTACTGTCTGGGGACCTCCATGGACCAGTTTGAGAAGCACTGCTTTATTGTACAAACAACGGCTTATATTTTTTATAAATGGGTGTTCCTTCACTAAAAGATCCTGCTAGCCTGGTGTGGTATTGAATGTGGGTCTAGTAAAACAGAAAAATGTTTTTTCTTTACAGTTGTGCTGTAGGCGTGGGTTTCTATGGAAACAGTGAAGCCAACGATGGGGTGTACCAGCTGACCCATTCTCTCTACCAAGCCAATCACACGCTGGATGGCATCGATCGATTGGTGAGGGTTGGCACATTTTGACCTCCGTCGGCCAATGATATTCATACTTCCAGTGATGATGTGAAGATGATGAAGTCCCTGTGTTAATGGAGGCTCTCTGTGTTTTAGTTTACGATTCTATTTCAGCACCATACTGAGCGACTGTAGATGACAATTGAAAGCTAGTGCCTACATTGCCCTTGTTAATGAAAATCACATTGTTGTCTCTGCAACTTTCCATTGTAGATGTCCTCCCAGTACCTCATGAACAGCTTATTCTTTTTCTAGATGGAGATTTAAATTACCAGATCCTCACAGCACAGACAGAGGTTATAGATGTATTTTGGAGTATGGTAGAACTTTCCCATGTCGTTCCCATGGTTACATTTTTTTGCTCCAGCGTCATACAGTCCAGAACATTGTCCTGGTTCACTCAGAGGTACAATGGCTCTTATTTGTTTGTGACATCCCCCCCCCAGCCCACCCCTCAGACTCCAACAACCTCATTTATCTTCGGACCTCATTGTGTCTAGAGAACATTTCTCTGCATAGAACAACCTGCCTGTTTTTGTCATGGTGGTTGAATGACCCTGGGCTCTGACTTTTTGGCTGCCTCATTTCTCTGTGTCAGTGGGGGGGGGGATTTAACTGTCACAACACACTCAGATTTTAACTTTGATTATTCCAAGAATAAAACTGCGTCGACTCTAAATAAACCCCAAATCTGCTTGGCCCAGACTCTTGTTTGAGACCTCATAAGACATGCATTATTCTCCCAGACTCCTGCCCCCCCCCTCTACACACACACCTCTTCACTGACTGAAATTCAAGGCTGGAGCAAGGTGGTCAACTGGTAGGTACAGTAGGTAGGTGCACTTCTGGCATTGAAGGTTCTGCTACCATGGTATGCAAAGCACTGCTTGAAATCTACTTTAGCTTAAAACTTCTAATTAATGGAAGGCGGCACTAAAAGGCAGTAGTTGGGTTGTCTATGGGCTGGCAGAAGCCCTAGCGTGCCTGAAGGCTGAGCAGACAGAGAACAATGGGTCCTTACATCTGGATTGTGCGTGCGTTTAATGTTGAAGTATACACAGGAAGTGAAAAGGCACTTACAAGGAAGTGCACCGTTCCTGTGCTGCACAAAGCACCCCAAAGCTTGCATAGCATGTTTCCCTTTGCTGGTTCCCATGGGGTTACGTTTGATTGACAGGACAGTGCAACCCGCAGTACAGAGTCTCTCTTTAATACAAAGATTTAATAATTAATTCTTTGCCATTTGCTTCCCCAAAAAGCCAGACCAGCCAGCTAGTTTATCAATCTAGACCCACACTCCAAAAGTTTCCTTTGTTCTGAAAGAAAAGGGAAAAAACATTACTTATCTTCCACATATTCTGAGCATGCACGGAAAATTGAAGTGGCTCGTTAAAAGCAGCTTATTTTACTCAAAAATAGACAACAAGTTACTGGGCTTTTAGAGTTATGCAGTGTTGTGGGAGAAGACTGCCTCTGAAAGAGGACAGACATCCGAGTGCTGTGGAAATTATATATTTACGATAATAACGGCAATGTTCCCATGATGATAACCAGCAGTCACATCTGGATGTGGGGGAAATAAGAGAGTAATGTTTTGGGGGAAGGGGGGAGTTTTCATTTGGACTGACTGCTTTTCTGGCTCTGAAAACGGGCCAGGTGTCTGGATTGAGTCCTGTTATTGTAATCCACTTGTGCAGGAAGCCTCCACTGAAATCAATGGACACCCGCTATGAATGCGTAGGCCGCTGTTCACGATCGATAATCGCTAATTTACACCCTCTTTATTAGGGTAACAACTGAATGCAGCCAGAGGAGCAGGACTGAGGGGATGTAATGTGAATGGCAGGTGTGAAAGGGGGGGGGGGTATGAATACCATTCACCAATTTCCTCCTGAGTAAATCCCAGGGTGTTCGTTACTGATCGAGTTAAGCGGAAGCTGTTTCTCCCGAGTAACTCATCAGCTCTGTTCCTCAGCTTCGATTTCAATTCCTAGATGTCACAAGTGTCTTCTTGTTTTTGTCGGCTGCATGAATAGGCTGCAGCATCCACTAAGCCTCTGATCCGGCGTGATCTTTGCACGGCGTGTGGCTTTCGCTCACTACTGTAAACACTACTCAGCACTCTCAGGACCCGCGTCCGACTCCAATTATCATCCCCAGCATTTCCCTGCTCTCTTCCGCCAGCTGCAGGGTCTCTCACCTCCAAAAGTCCCGTGATGTCACGGGAGATATGCCAGACGACGGAGCACTGAGAGAACTGTTCCAGAATTGTGGGGCTGGGGGTTTGTTGCCTCTCCAGCTGTTGCTGTAGATGGAGTTTAAGAGGACATCTAAGCTAGCCTCAGATTCTAGCGCGATCGCTCTTGGTGAGATGGCATAGCGTTCACTCAATGGCTACTGCTAGCTCCAGGTTCTGCGTTCTCTGCATTCCCTTGGTGTCAGCTGCCGTTCGGATGCCACGCTTGGAGAAGCGACCCAGAGGTCCACAGTTCACTTAGGCATGGAGCCTCACTCGAATCTCTTCCATAAATATCCCCAAAGACATATGAGACTCTCTGTCCGCTCACACGCCCTCATTTGTACTGATGCCCTTGCTCAAACGTTCACAACAAGCCCAGAGGCGAGAATTGTCCGCTCTCTTTGTGCCGGACCACTGTGGTATCAGGTGCATGACTGCTCATCCAGAGACCACTTATCCTCAGTAAAAGCTTTCAGGAAACCCACATCACATGTGCTATTTGACTGCTGGTTAGTTTGCCAGCTGTGTTCACAGTAATGTAAAATCCTGATTTCTGGCAGAGTAAAATCTCTCGGATGGAGAATAAGAGAGCAAAAGCGTCTAGAACCAGTTCTCTGAAAGGAGAATCTCAAAGAAATATAGTTTAAAAAGATTAGATGTGCATGCATTAGTACTGTTGCAGTTTAACTCAGTGAGTTGACGAGAGACAGGGGAACGTCTTGCATGAAATGAAGACTTGGGTTTGTTCCCATTCTGTGCAGAGATCAAGCCTGTACCGTGTCTCAGGAAACCTGCGCCATTTGGTGGTCTGTCTCCATCCTGTACTCACTGAAACCTGTCTCCTTCCTTGGTGAGATGCTCCGCCACACTGACCACGCCCCCTCAACGCGCAGGTGACTGGCACGGTCAGCGGCTTGGAGGGCGGGCTGAAGCAGCACCTGGGCCGGCTGGACGAGATCTTCGCCGTGCGCGAGGACTACGTACGGACGCTGCACGCCATGCAGCGGACAGCCGACAGCGTCGTCGTGCAGCTGAGGGGACTCCCGGACCTGGGCCGGGCCAAGCTGAACCTGTCCACGATCGCCGAGCACACCTTGTACTGGGAGCATCGCAGGTGAAGTTCCACCAATAAATAGCCTTGAAACAAAATGCAAAGTCAGCTGGAAATGTTATAAGCATTTGCACTGGCTGGAAAGTTTCTTGATAATACTCTGCACCGTTAGACTGGTAAATAGCCCAGATGTTCTGGTCTGACTGCCTCATATCAGTCCAGCTGCATCCACTGCATTAAGACTGCTGCAAAACATTCCCCACACTCAGCCCTCAAGTGTCCAGGAAGAGGATGTCCTGTTCAGCTTGGTGGGGGGGGGGGCATGCCATGAAATATGTAACAGGGCTAGGAAAGGGTCACGGCTGGGGAAGGAGATGGTGCACAACATAGCACATGCATAAGCCTGGGGTCAATCTGGGAGCCATCTTGGACTGAATGCCAGTCCATCACAGGGCATAAGAAGATAATGTAGAATAATGTAAAGTGTACGTGACGTTGCTGTTCGTCCTCCCTCCCCTAGGTGGCTCGCTTACTTGTTGGTGCTCGTTTTCTACCTGGTCATCTCCCTGGCAGTCTTCCTGGGCCTGGCCAAGCAGTCCCGCTGGCTGCTCACCATGTGAGTTGCTCAGAGTAACGCGCCGGATCGCCTGCGTTTGCCTGCTCCATCTCCTCTCCTTTGTCCGTCGAAAAAGCAGTGTGTGACTTACTGGGTCGGGATGCTGTGTCTGCAATCGGTCAGTCGCCACTTCAAATCCCATGGTCGGCAGAGTGATTTTCCTGATTTTACCCACTACTAAGTCCTCCAAAGATTACCTTCATTGGCTGCTGTTCTTCTGTAAGTGAAAGAATGAGTCGCTTTTTGTTGGGCCCCCATGTAGCGTGTTTTGCTCATGGCCACTCAGAGCCCCCAAAGATATATTTTCAAACTTTCCACGCTATTCAAACTTTCCACGCTAAGACTTTTCTTTCCAGCAGGATGATCCCTGGAAGTGGATTAACGAAGGTGGATTCTTTACAGCCACACAGCTGCTATCCCGTTGCGAGCGTAAATGATCTTTTTTTTTTTTTTTTATTGAGCCGTTGCCAAGGCGACACCCGCAAGCCCCTTCCCACGCATGGATGTGTAATCAAGACACACTCGTGGCCTCGAAGCAGGCATTTCCCTGGAGACCCCGTGCGTCTCTCCATTCGGCTCCGACCTTAATGATGCCCGTAATGCGTATTGATCACCCTCAGAAGTGTCTGTGTGTGCTCACCGCTAACGAAACATTAAGTGGCTCGGGTTTTTCCAATCCCTTGATGCTTTTTAGTCCGCCTGTGGAATGGGTCATCGCAGAGAACGATGCAACTGCCAGTAAGCATCCATCAGGGGGCCGTCGCCGCCCCCACCACCAATCCTGCCCTTCCTTTCGATTATCCATTCTCAGCGCTCCATTCACGTTGCTTGCGATGCCGGCAAATGCGACCGGGACGCCCATTAAGACCAGCTGTAGCTGAACTGCTCCCTGCTGGTGCTGATGCCACCATCTGCCGGCGGTGAACCGACCCGAGCGGAATGTCTTAAAATGCATCCCGAGAGAGTGAGGAAGAGAGGAAGTGGAGCAGAGCCGGGGGAGGGAGGTTGGCCACAACTGGACAAGGAGCTCAGAAAGGGGCCAGACCTCTACTCAGCACTGCAGCTTATTCCCATCTTCGCCCCCCCCCCTTCCCTCCCAGTGTCCTTATCTGTCCTACAGCAAACTCAGTGCGGGGTTAATATAGTCATCAATTACCAGTGACTGATCCCTGCTAGAAATATGATAATGCATTGCATGTGTATGATGTTTAACTGGCTTCTATAGTATAAGCATGGCGACAAGGTTATATGGACACGCCCCCCCCCAATATTCAGATGTGCTCACGATGTCCCCCCAGTATATGTTATAATTAGAGCTTTAGTCCCCCCCTCCAATGTTGACTACGTGGGTACGGCTTTGCATAGTGATATTGGATGTGTGGATGATTCGAGGTTTGCAACTTTAAATCCCAGTCATAAATGCTGCTGTACCCTTATTGTTTAGGCTCGTAAGGTTGTAATTGGTTAAATAAAATGTCCAGGTGAGACCTGGTTAGCCTGCATATTAACCTTCTCAACCCAGCCCTTGGGGACCCCCAGACAGTCCGTATTTTTGCTCCCTCCCAGCTCCCAGCCAATCAGGAGTACGGAATACCTATTGTAGGTGTCTTGGGAGCTGGGAGGAAGGAAAAATGTGGAGTAGGGCTCAGAAATGCTGCCGTCACTAAAGGCTTACGCTAACTGGACAGGTAGGCTGTTGGTAGCAGTCTGCTTTGGGGAGGGGGGGGGTGTCCCATGGCTCTGCAGTGAGCCGCATTCGGTCTCCCCCCCAGACTGACGGTGTTCGGACTGCTGACGCTGGTGGTGAGCTGGGCCTCGCTCGGAGCGGATACGGCCGTCGCCGTGGTGAGCTTTCCGCAGCCTGCCCCCCCCCCCTGACACTACACATATCTGCCAGTGGTGTTACATAGATTTGATTTACTTTTTAATTTTCATTGTTTTCAATTTTTCATTTGAAATCTAGTTTGGTTTTAGTGGTTTTATTAGTTTAATAGTTTTTATTAGTTTGTATTTTAACATAATGCATTTTACAGAAGCCAAGAAATGCCATGAAATATTGTTTTCTATGTTATGACTGCCTATATTACAGCCTCGGCGTGTCATTGATGAAGTTATCCGAGATCTCAAGAAAATTATTCTGTTTTCATGAGAACTTTTTATATTTTCATTTCAGTTTTAGTAATTTTATTTCTAGGGATAGACTGAAAGTATTTTATGTGTCTGATCTTTACGGAATCCAACAGGAATACACAGTGCACATAATATACTGATGTAATAACTCAAAAAATATGTTCCAGGTATTATTAATGGTAATGATAGATAGATGTGATATATATATATAATCACTAGCTAAATAGTATTTAAAAAGTATCATATTTTATTTCAGGTTCACAAAAATGTTTTCTTACTTTTAGTTTTTGTCCATGATAGTAACCCTGATTCCTGCTACATGAAAGCACTGAGGCCCTTAATTTGTCTGTCTCTCTATCTTTATCTTCCCTCTGTCTCTCTCTCTGTCTCTCTCTCTCTCTCTCTCTCTCTCTCTCTGTCTCTGTCTGCAAAGAATAGAATCGGTAGCTTGGGTAACTTGAGTTAAGTGTGCATCTCAAATAAGCGACATATTTTGACACTAGAAAATGACAGGTTTACTTTACTGTGGAGCTGTTTATATATATATATATATAGCATATATCTCCCACTTAAAGGCATTGTGGGTAAGGAGGGTGAGCTCCTGTCATGCATATAGCTGATTGTCGTGCTGAAAAAGCAGGCAGACCAGACAATAGGAGGCCTTCTGTACGTTTCTACACCGGCAGCTGGCAAGTCAGCTATAGGTTACAGCTTAAGGACCTTCACCTTGGACCTGGAGCAAAAATAAAATAAAAAAACAGTCGATAGCTGGAAATATGTTGGATTGACTTCCTCAGAAGCAGTGCTGCCTCCCTAATAAGTATTGGTTACAATGCTCATAATGTCCCCCCAATATATTATTGGTTCCTTATTTTACCATGTATTTGAGATCCAAAAATTCATGTTTTTAAAAACTTAAATAGAAGAAATGCCTAAAATGGCTTTAATATATGTTTGGTGCCTTCCCTTGCTGGCGATAGGGAACAAGTGACTTCTGTGTTTCGCCTGACAAGTTCATAGTCAACCAGACCGAGGACATTGTCCCAGCGGGTGAGTGCTGTGGTTCAGCCATATTCCAGTACAAAGGCTCGGAAATCAGCCTCTCTCCCTCGCTTTGCTTGTGGAGGTGAGGCTAGGCACTCTCTGGGGTGTTTTGCATGATTCAGAAGCTGAACTTCCTGCATTTCCCCCTACAGCTATTACTCACTACTACCTGTACTGCAGTCCAAGTCTCCTAAACCCCTTTCAAAAGGTAAACCTCTCGCCTCCCACTGATTTCTCTATTAGGTATCCGGTGTGTCCTGCCCCCACACACTCATTGGCTCCTTGAGACTGCCGCTCTATCACAAAGAGGGGAGAGCCAATCCGGACTCACGCTACAACACCATATCTACCTTCCACATTGCTATTGTATGTTACATTTTGGTTTTAGACCACTAAAGTACTTCTTTAACACCCATCCAACCCTGGGATTCCACTGTGGGTATTATGGTTCAAGGTTTTTAGGGGCAAATGTCCTTTGTACCTGAGCCTGTGTCCAGAAATTCATTTCATGCAGACTGAATATCCTTGAAATGATGTATGAGATATGTCGCCACCTGCTGGTGAGGAGGGGAAATGACCAGCATCCTGTTCAGGAAATGTGTGTGTGCGTGTGTGTGTGTGTGTGTGTGTGTGTGTGTCCATTGGCTTTGCAGTTGCTGACCATCTTCCAGAGGTCCCTAACCACCATGCAGACCCAAACCCAGAGCTTGCTGCTGAGTACTGCTCTACACTTCCCTACCGCACAGGTGAGTCACAGGACACTCAAGAAGGCTGGGAGAGGGATACTTTGCTGTAGGGTGTTTTCGATCCATTTTATTGTGGTGTAAGGTAGAATACCTCTCCAGAGCTTAATTGGAGAAACATTACCGCTGGTAATCCACTGTTCCTGTTTCCAGAGGGACCTGTTTGGGATCCAGCAAATCCTGAACACTTCTGAGTCTAGCCTGCACCAGCTGACCGCCTTGCTGGACTGCCGCAGCCTGCATAAAGTGGGTCACCCCCCCCCATCATCCCCCCCCCCACTCACTCTCTCTCTCTCTCTCTCTTACTGCAGCCAAACTCATAGCAGCTAAGGTTAATAGGTCACTTAGGCTCCATGCATACAGGCATCTAGCAGGATTTCAGCTTCTGGGACATGATTGGTTGCATTGGATGTAGGCCCCGCCTACTTTGTGTGAGTTTATATATAGGCATGCGTGTTTGGGTCCTTCAGGATTACCTGGAAGCAGTGGTAGGCTTGTGCTACGATGGCGTGGAGGGTCTGCTCTACCTCTGCCTGTTCTCCCTGATGTCCGCCGGCGCCTTCTGCGTCTTGTTGTGCGCCATCCCGCGGCTCCTCAAGCACATCGCCAGCAGGTGAGAAGCCCAGCCCAGCTCAGCCACGCCCCTTTCCCCAAAGGCTCCCATAATTGGCTCCCGCCCCATGCCTGTCTCCTCCGCCCTCCCCCCCCCGCAGGGAGCGCGAGTACGACGACATCGATGAGGAGGACCCGTTCAACCCGCGGGCTCGCCGTACGGTGGCTCGTGGCCGCAGCTCCAGTCAGTCCCACGTTCACAGTTTCTGCAGCTACAGCAGCCGGGAGAGCCAAAGCAGTCTGCACCTGCCCCCGCCCCTGCCGACCACCACCAATGCGCCCATCGCCGAATACATGTGAGGCCCCCCTCAGAGACACTGTTTGTCTACTAAATTTTGAGAGTTATATGTGTGTGTGTGTGTAACATTTACTGTGCATTTTTGTGTAGGGCCCGCCCAAGCATTTTCAGAGCCCTAAGCAATATTTGATTAACCTAGTTACCATTTGTCATCTTCCTTTCCATTCTGACAGGCAGATTAGATGGGGAGGGGCGCCTCCTGGTGGCCGCTGAGTGCTAAGCACTTAGTTCCATTATGCTTAGGATGTGTACTTGGACAGGATTGGAAATGTTTGCCTCTCAGTATGCATGTGTGGGTGCCTGTATGTTTGCAAGCACATGTGATTGATTATTTTAGTTTTTTGTAATCCTATTGTGAAACCCCGCCCTCTTTTGCAGGAACCAGTCGATGTTGTTTGGGGGAAACCCTCGCTACGAGAACGTGCCTCTTATCGGGAGTGGCAGGAGCTCGCCGCCGCCTTCAGTGCGTTGCACCCGAGAGGCCAGCCTGTGATGCTCACACTGCCCCCTACTGGTTCACACAATTTCTCTGACTAGACTGTTACGTCACATGACCACAGCAAATACCGTTATTGAAATATCTAACACTTTTAAACTCGCGATAAGGGATCTTTATTTTTTTAATGCCATGGATACAGTCAAGTTTTCCATTTTCTCTTATTTAATAAAGAAGTATTTATAGAAGAATGTCAGTTCACAAGGTTTAATTTTGGACAAATGGTTAAGCTCATTACAATTACATTAATTTAACCTTTGCTCATGTGAAAGAACAAATTGTGCATTTGTGCTTTTTTTCTTTTGGCTTTGACATAACATTTTGTGTAAAAAAATACTTGATTGCATTTTGATTTGAAAAATAAAATGGTTTTCTGATCTTTCTCTCTCAAACCCTACAGTACTCTCCCAGCTTGAGGTCCACCTATCTGTCCATGACCGACAGCCAGATCCGGCACTTTGGGACGGACCTCCCAGTATAGATCCCCGCCCATCCATCCTCTACCCCCTCCCCCCCCACCGCCGAGGGCGTGTGTAGCTACAGTTCACCTTATGCTGTCGCTCCTGGCCGGCCCTGTCTTAGGGACAGAAGTGTTGCACGTGCTTTCAAAGACAAACAAAAAAGCACACTCTGGTGTGTGTGGTCTGCTGCCTCTCCCCATAATCCTGCCAGACAACAATAGCCCTGTAAAACATCTCTATGTAATTCCCTGTTAAGCCCCCTAGCGATGGAATGCAGATTCATTAAATAGGAGAGCAGTCACCCCAGGGGGGGATGCACTTCTTGCTATGCAGTAAGAGCCCCCCCTCTGGACTTCTGTCACTTTTCTGTATCAAGGCAGCAGAGCCTAAAGAGAGAAGAGATGGAAACACGGAACCAACATTCTACTCATCGGTCCCTATCGAGCCAAAACATTTCCAAAGCGATTCCACAGCCCTGAGCTGTTTATCAAGCCTTATCTACTTGCAAATGATTCTCATTTTCAGTCTGTCTGTGCTTTTTTTTTCTCTCATTTTGACATGGACGTGTTGTTTTGTCACTCCAGTATCACAGGAGAGGAGTTTTTCATTTTATGACAGTGATTTTAAGTTGTGCACGGAGCCAGTGCGGGGGTGCATTTCCATACCTCAGATGTGTCTTTGTTTAGATGAGAGCTCAAAGATCGTTAAACTCATTTGTCTCCATATGTCTGCTGTTCTGTGTTTTTTTTTTTTAATTCAATGATTTTCAAATATGAAGGATAGCGACCCCTAAGAGCAAAAGTTTCATCAGGGAGGGGTAATAGCATGGTGCAGCAGGACAAACTCTGAATGTGACCTCCCCCCAGAATTCCTTGGAGTTACATTAGTATGCATTAAAATTCTCCAGACAAAGTCCAGTTTGTACCAGGTCAGATTAGTGGCTGATTACTGCACTCTTTCTTGTCCTAAAGAGAATTACTCTAGCTACTTAAATTCAAACAATATATTTTTTATAATGTTTTAATTCACGTTTGGGAAACAGGTTTTAGTGGCCCTTTGCTATGATGTCCAGCCAACGGGATCTCTACTTTGTCTTTTTCTAGTGGATTTGTCTTTGAATCAATTGCAATTATATTCAGATCATTCTTCCGTTAATCTCACTGGGGAAATTGGAGTACATTTTGGTGTGTCTGCTTGATTTAATTTGAAAATTAAAAAATACCAGAAAATCGAAAGCTATTTAATTCGTGCAAAAAATGCATTCTGGTGTCTTTTCTTTTGCCTGCTCATTAAAAACGACGGAGTTGTTTTACGGCAAAAATTAAACCATGCTGTTGGCGTCAACGTCTTTGGTGGCTTGGCGGCTCTAATGAACAAAACGTTTTGGAGACACCTAGTGGCCAATTTGTAAAATGCACATAGAACGGTTTTTTTCTTTTTTCTATGGGGTAAGATGTATTTGAGTTCATGTAAAATCTACACAGGCGTTTTGAAGCGACTGCAAAGGCTCAGAATTAATTAAACGTCATCGACACATTAACACGTGGGAAAGGCACATGTTTAAATGATAATATATTCGTGAGTCAAATGGAGGAAAAAATACACAACATTGATTAACAACACTTTGCCTCACATAAATGCGGTGGTTCACACGCACACTATATCACGAATAAGCTTATTTAAAACTTATGCTGTACACAATTCCATGGAACAAGATACAAAACCACTGATCACGTCAGACATCAAAGCGGATGTTATCGGTTTTTGGTGGTTTGTTTAATTTCCTTCCATCATTTTATGGCAGTAACAGTTTAGCATTCTCAGCCATATTTAAAGCTATTTAATATTCAGTAGATTGTCATATGTTTTCGGGTGTATTGATAAGGACACGGATGCATGCTGCGACTTTCTGGTGCTGACAGAGGCGCCCTCGGAGAAGTTTGTCGAAGTGCGGCCGCCGTACTTCCTGAATCTTCGGGTGCGGTTTTTGTGGAGTTTGTTGATGAATCGAAACAGTTTTGCCGGAGTGCAGTGACACTGCTTTTCTCGGATTCCGGCAATAAAATGCCATTTGCAAGATGGTCATTTGACAGACAAAAGTGTTAACTCTTTGCCTTTTTTACTGATTGTCCCGACGGCGATTTTTGGGAATGCGACTTCGAAATGGGAAACCTTTTTGGCAAAAAGAAAAGCGCTACTCGTGTCACGGAACAGGACAAAGCAGTTTTGGTGAGTAAATAACTAACTGACAGGGTAGGGTTTAGTGAGGTGGGGATCGCCAGGTTTCTTAAAAAGGTATATTGTCTCTCGATCTTCTATTTAAGTAAATGACTGACAGTGACACACGTGTATGTGAGCGTAAACTAGGGAAGTAAATATTTGCAGTATGTTAAAATCCACCGCTTGCCCGCAGGGTTCGAGTCACGCCTAAGCTATTTTATTTCGGAACCGTGGATCTAAATTCGTCCCGGTAGATGTCTGACCCCGTCCTGCCTTCTGCCCCAACCCAGCAACTGAAGCAGCAGAGAGATAAACTGAAGCAGTACCAGAAACGGATCTCGCAGCAGCTGGAGAAGGAGAGGCTTCTAGCCAAACAGCTGCTGAAAGATGGGAAGAAAGAGTGAGTTTGCCCGTGCATCGCCTGTTCAATATTAGTGCTTTATTGTGCATATGATCTTCATAAGACGTTTTAAAAACGGACCCTTTCTATCCGTGTTCCAGAGCTGTTCATATTTTTGCCAGCTTTTGGTCAACAGGCTTTTGGTCACTAGTTTATTTAACTTTTTAGATTATTATCTGAAGGGTATTAGTTACTAGTAATGGGTAAATTAAGCTTCATGGACCATAGCCCCAAAGCAAACCAAGAGCACCACCTAGAGTGGTAAAAAATACAGCAAATGGTTCATGAAGCTTCATTTAGTCTGTGCCAGTGAAACAGTTTGTGTTAACTACTTTGCATAAGATTGCAATCCCAGGGGCCTCTCTTGGGACGTAAACTGGCATAGGCTGTGTCCCAGTTCACCCTTTCGATTGGTTAATTACATGTGCAGAGAGGCGTGTCTCATAAAATTAGCCTATGGTAGTGCTGGCAGTGGGGGGAGTCTCTTGAGTGACTGATTGGCTGTTGGCTTGTGACAGGAAAGCCTTGCTTTTGCTGAAGAAGAAACGCTACCAGGAACAGCTGCTGGACAAGACAGAGACACAGATAAGCAACCTGGAGCACATGGTGAGACCTTAAAAGGACTGGGCACTCTTCAGGATCAAAGCGGCGCTAGCTAGCAGGACACTAACTTCCAAACTAGCTTCACCAGTTAATGGCATCAGACGACATGCTCTCACCAGGAGCCACTTGTGTGAATTTTATCACGTCTCTTCAGCTTCACTAATTTCCCCCTCCCCCTCCCCCTCCAAGGGTCTCTTATCTGCTCCGCTGCGTCCAGGATATATTTCAGAATGTGTCGACTTTGGTGTTTCTTTGAAGGCCTCTCCGTGCATTTATGCTATTTTTCTTCTCGCTGAAAAGGTTCAAGATATTGAATTTGCCCAGATTGAGATGAAAGTCATCGAGGGGCTGAAGGTTGGCAACAGCTGCCTGAAGAAGATGCACGAGGTAGAGGCCCCGCCACGTACTTGCCGCCATCCACTTCCTGCAACGTCTGTGGGAAGCTGACTAGGAAATCTCTGTTTAGCGGCTCCATAATCGCCGTCTCTGTGGTCCGTCACACACGGTCACATATGTGCTGTAGGTCTGCAGCTGTGCCCTGAAGCGTATCCATTGGTTAGCAGACCAAATGTCGTAAGCTTCAGCCGTGATGAAATGCACCTTGCTCTGCTCTTTTCAGGTGATGTCCATAGAGGAAGTGGAGAAGATAATGGACGAGACTCAAGATGCCATCGAGTATCAGAGGGTAAAGTTTCTACTCCGCCTCGTCAACCTCTGAGGACAAAAAAATATCAGTTTTTCCCTAATTGCCCAATAACGCCAGCTAATTGCCCCCTGACTGACTCGCCGTACTTTCGACCCCCTCCTACACACAGCAAATCGACGAGATGCTGTCAGGCTCGCTGACGCAGGAGGACGAAGACGCCGTGCTGGCTGAGCTGAAGGCCATCACACAGGTGCGCTCACCTGCCCGTTCCCTCACCTCCGCCGTCTCCCGGTCCTCCTGCCTCACTTCCCATCAGCCCCTTCAGCACTCACCTGACCTGTGGTTGTGCTCCATGCTCTGACTGCGTCTGCACAGCCGGAGTGTAACTCAGCGACACATAGATAACACTGCAAACCTTTTACTTTCTGATGCATGGATTCCCAATGTGGAATTATGGGTAAATACCCATAAACCTCCTCTCCGGAATTCTGTTCACACAAACGCACCCAAAAGAGAATCTAGTTAGAGACGAAGTCTAGGTATAATATGCAAAACAAAGAGTATCTCGTAGTGTAAAGCAAACCAAGAACTCAACAGGGTAGTGGGGGTCAGTGGTCGGAGATGAGGTTAGTCTGCGTGACGAACGTCAAGGTGTTCCTGGAATTCTGAATGACCCTGAAGACGGGATCCAATTGGGTAGTTTGTTGTACCATTTAGTAACCATGGATGTATGACATGTAGTATGGAAAACAAAGAAAATTCCATGCGCTGTTCATCTGCCGATCATAACATCATAGATTCAAGTTAAGCAATTCGCTCTAGGCTGATATTCAAGCTTTAATCCACCAGCGTTGACTTAAAGGTTAGGGACTTACGCTGGCAGTCAGTTGGTTTTGGATCGGTGCTTAATTTGTAAACTCTGAGGTGCTGGACCTTGTAAAGAGCAGAGACCTGCTGCAACAACCATTGTATGAGGAGCTGGAACACTGAGTTACATTACACACATAAATCGGTCTTAACGATAATGCACTATTAATTACTTGAACACATAACAGTGCAATATTTTATCAATGCATGTTAGTTACCTTAAACTGTAAGACAGACTTACCCTATTAGATGAGTTTAATAGTCCAGAAGGTAACTTTATCTAAATTAGTGGGCAAAAAGTGGATTTTATTGCACGCGCATGGTGTGGTTTTTCCCTTTCAAATTAAAAGTCAAATAAGATAAACATAATAATTTAGGCAGATGTATGCCCCACAAACACAGCCAATTTTATAAATATACATGTCTTTGTATGTCTTCCAAAGTTTTAACTGTAATTATATTGGGGGTAGCATTTGATGTGGCAGAGTCCCAGAGCTGAGCTCCAGCACACATTAAGCTCTGGTTTGGTTGTGCAGTCTGCATTGTCGGCCATCTGTCTCTCCTGGTTATGAGTGAAGAACTTGTGTCTGTGACTGCAGGAGGATGTAGCCCTTCCAGAAGTCCCCGAGGAGGCCTTGCCAACGGTGCCTGAGAAGAGGGGAGGTATGAACTCTAAAAATTAACCCCCGTTGGTCAGTTCCAGCTTATTTCCCAGCGTTATTGGGAAATGTGTGGCTCAGCGGGGTAAGCCTTTGTGCCTGTGGTCAGTTTGACAGAATAGTCACTTGTCCGTGGGCCCTTGAGCAAGGCCCTTAACCCCCAGCTCTGACTGACCCTGCACTGTCACCCTCGAGCTTGGTCTCACCTGTGTATGTGCGTGTCTCATGGAGAGCAAGATGAGGTTAGCAGAGAGGGAATGAAGTATCACTATTCCATTCCAGTTTTAGTTAGCTTTCTCTCTGTCGTCCCTGCCTTCTGTCCCAACCCAGTCCGAAAACTCATCCTGCCTGGCCACATTTTTCTTATGATCCACAAATTACACACTTGTTTTTACATGTCAGCTAATCATAATGCCCTGCATTTGCCTGACTCAGGCAGGTAAGTTGCTGGTGGACTGGGAGGTGCTCAAGAACTGGGTACAGAACCTTTGTTTTATGTGACGAGTGACGTCCTTTTATGCGTCTTCAATGCAGAACTGGATGATGGGACATTCTGTCCATGCGAATGCTCTGAAACGCCTTTCGTCTGCTGATGTGCGTTTGCTTTGATGTGTTTTTCAGGCCCAGAGCTGGACATGTGCTCTGGCCCGGCAGTCTGCGGCAAGGAGCCTTTATATGCTTCTCTTTTCCGTCTTTCAGAGGGGGGGCGAGCGAAGGAGCCGAAGAAAGAGGCGCTGGCAGTGTAGTTGCTCCCCTCACCACAAGGGGGCTCCCTCTGGAGGGATGGATGCTAAGTCCTTCCAATACACACATATGTGTACTTGTGATATATACTGACTGGCCACTGCAACCCTGCGATGGATGGATGTGCTGACTGTGTGTGTGAATGCCAGAGAGAGAAAGAGAGCAGGTGGAATACGAAGGGAAACCCAAAAACAGCTCCACACCTCTGGTTCCCCCTTCATTGACTCTAAGCCAGTGTTTCCCAACACAGTCCTCAGGGACCCTCAGGCAGTCCACGTTTTTGCTCCCTGTCAGACAGTCCACGTTTTTGCTCCCTGTCAGACAGTCCACGTTTTTGCTCCCTGTCAGACAGTCCACGTTTCCCAGGAGGGAAGAACGTGGACCGTCTGGGGGCCCCCAGCAACTGGGTTGAGAATCACTGCTCTAAGCTCTTATTTAAATGTGATTTCATGGATCTTTCCTGGGAAGTGCCCCCCCCCTCCCCTTCACACATTCAACTTATGTTTCCTGCCCAACAGACTGATCCAACACAACTCTCATAATCTGACCCTGAAACGCAGTGCCAGTCACATGACGGTGGTTAATTTTCAAGGTGACTTTCATGCTTTGTTTCCTCAGTGTTCTGTTTTTATGTTCTTAATCAGCGTGAAATGCCAAAATCGGGCGTCTGGATATGGCTGAAACAATTCCGGCACTGATGAATGTCATTGTATTTATGGGGGAGACCTAAAAAAATATGATTCCTGTTTAATTTAATGGGTGGTCCTTTATCCAAAGCGGCTTATGATTTTTCTAAACCTATTTATTTCTGTTTCCATTTAAGTTCATTAAGTTCAAGCTAGAAACGTTTCGGGTTGGAATCTAACTCCTTAATCGCAGTGCCACCTCCTGGTATATTCTGGTATATTCTTCATTGACCATGCGCTAAACCTGCACTGGAAAGCTTACTCGCTCATCCGCATTCAGTTACAGAAGATAGAACTAGATGGTGCAAAACAACACAGACAGTGCAGTGCATGACTGCATAACTGCTACTCAATAGTTCTTCATGAAGCTACACTTGATTAATGCGATTAGCTATTATTCGACACATCTATTGCCTTTCCTGGGTGCTGCCTGGTAATGATGTCATATGGCATCACCGTGAATCATATGCACAATATTTGGTTTCCCTAGTGGTAACATTGTACTTAAAATAGTCACCATAATGCATTCATAAAGTATTATAAACATGGCTGTAACTATTTACAAAAAGGGATAACACATTATAACCATGTGTATTATGCATTATGAATGCTTTATGAAGCTCTCATCTATAATGCACTATACATACCTTCATAATGCATTATAATGGTCTGTATAAGTCATAATAAAAATGGCTGTAATGTGTTATGCCTTTTTAGAGTGTTACCAGATAAGTTTCTTTCTTTCTTTTTTTTTGGGGGGGGGGTGTGGTTCTAACTAGTAAATGTTCATTTAATCAGGTTTTATTTTAGCAATTATGCAAAACTGTCCACGAGTGAGATATCCTACCAGATATCACGGTGATTCCTGGGACGCGGTGTTCCAAAGTGACTTTACTGTATTTCAATGTTTAATGACCTTTATCAGCTGAACAGAAGTCATGTTGACATTTAATACTGACGCTGTGTGTGTGTGTGTGTGTGTGTGTGTGAGTGAGAGAGAGAGCATGCCTAACTCAACCTTTTGAGATATGGTATATAACTGTAAAAGGATTAACTGACTCCTGTCCTCTTGGCTGGTTAGTGCAAAATGCATTGATCCAGCCATTAGTTAGCCCTAGAACTGAACATCGTCATCACCAGGAATATTACTGTCCCACCCGCAAGGGTTAATGTATCTCTCTCAGATTGAATTGCATTGTGTGTAAATAAAGGGGTTTTTAACTGATGTCAGTGCTCTGCTATGAAGTTCTATGATGTGATGAGCCCCATTAGACACAAGAGGGCGCCATGAAAGACTGCGGAGCTATACACATTTTTTCAAGGTAGAGACTTTCGTGTGTGATTTGCAAGTGATATTTCTAATAATTATGTTAATATAGAAAAATAAATGCTTTTTTGGGAGGAAATTTGTGATGCTTTTTAAATGAGAATAATTCTTTCTCCGTTATTACTGAGCTAAGCCATGCCTAAGCCAGACTTGCTTAATTCAGAGTCCTGTTAGAAAGGCGCTCCCTCCACGCCGGACCCAAGGTTACCTCTGCCAATGGGCTCGTTTGTTCAGTGACGTCCCCGTCACTTAAAGGCCAGCTAGCAGGGACACGACACCAAGCACAGAGGCGTACAAAAAATTTATTTGATTTTTTAAAGAGGTGTGGGAGTTATTCTAGCGTTTGGCCCGTAAAAGGGCATTAAATCCATGTCACGGATCTGAAGGAGAGGAAATGAACAGAATGTGACCCACAGCATCAGAGACTATCGGCGAGCCGCCGCGGTCGGACCGGCCTCCCACGCGTGCTGCTGTTCCTGCCCTTGCTGCTTCATTGTGCGTGATGTAACCAGCCAAGCATTGTCCATTTAATTAATGAATAATTTGTTTATTCGGTGGGCCTGTTGTACAGCGAGCCCGGGTACCTTGACGGCCGCTTACGGAGTTCAGGGTGACGTCTCACGGGGGTTTGGTAGCTGTCTAAGCTCTTGGGAGACTTAAGGGGTGTATTATGTGTCTGGATTATTGAGCTGTGTTCATGCACTTTAACTCCAGCCCATTTCTGCAAACAGGCTGGGAATGTTTGTTTTATGTAAATTATTTTTAAACAGTCAGCCCTCTTTATTCCACACACCCCCCCCCCCCACAGATACCAAAATATGCGGGTGCTCAAGTCCCTGATATAGAATACCGCAGTATTTGCATATAACCTACACACATCCTCCCGTTTGCTTTGAATCATCTCTAGATTACTTATAACACCTAATACAATGTAAATGTTATGTAAATAGTTGTTGTTGTGAATGGTTGTTGTGTTGTTTAGGGATTAATGACAAGACAAATAAATCTGTACATGTTCAGTACCGACACAACCATCTTAGAACATATAGAAAATATATATTAATAAATAGAGAATATATAACTTCATTCTTTCACTTGCACACACTATTAACACACACCAACACCCAAAATTACACATCACCTCATTCGTCATGCTCGGCTTATGGGAAATTTAAGTTCTGCTCTTTTGGAATCTTCTGGAATTTTTTTAAAGAATATTTTTGATCCGTTGTTGGTTGAATTCGCAGATGTGGAACCAGCGAATATGGAGGGTGAACTGTATGTGGTGGAAAAGGCTCAAATCTGCCCATGCTGTGTGTATAGGAGGGGGGGGGGGCTCCTGTTGTTCTTGCATGTAGTTGAAAGGCATAAAGTTACGGAGAGCAGGTGATTATCAATTTCTCACACGTGTGTGTGTGTGTGTGTGTATTTGCATATATCACATTTGGGGACCAAAAATGGGGTAAAACCTGACACATCCCTTCTTTTGGGGACATTCTTCATGTCCCCATTTGGATAACCTCACTTTTATAAACATCTGTGACTGCAATCAAAAAAGAAAAAATTCCGAAAGTCTCTTATTTTGTTTGGTTACTTATGGTTAAGGTTAGGGCTGGGTAGGGGTTAAGGGTGTCGTGATTGGGATTAGGGTCTTTCTCATAGATTAGGGTCCCCATTTAGATAGGTATGCCGGCTTGTGTGTGTGTGTGTGTGTGTGTGTCAGGGAGAGAGAGACCCTTGTGTTGAGTTGTATATCCCTGTCATACTCAGCCATATCCCCTATATTTTCCATTATAGACTGTAGCCTGACGTTCCCCTAATTTGATAAGCACTGAAACCACCGAATTAATTCTTCTCACATTAGCTTGATTTTTTTTTCCCCCTCTCCACTGAAGTGTTTTGTGACATTTAAAAAATGACTGTACAGAATATGACAGGTGTTTTTTTTTTAAGGGCTGAGTAATGGCTGGGAATCTCAATTCTCTCGGTTCCAGTTTCGAAATTCGTTTTCGGCAACTTCTCTGCCTCGACGGCTGCCAGGTGTGTGTGCGTGCGTGCGTGTGTGTGTGCGTGCATGTGTGTGTGTGTGCGCGCCCTGGCCTCACGGGCCTGGCAATAGCGCGCGGCACTGGGAGGCTTTCATCCGCCGCCGGGCGGCGAAGGCCACATCTGGCCTCGCTGAATATGGCCCTGCCCACTCGGCGTTCTGGCATTTACTACGGGAGACTCGAACCTCGGCGAGGTTGCGCTCATGTGTCTGTGCGTGGGTGGCTGGCTACGTGGTCTTTCTAGAAGGCTTGTCAGAGTAGAGTGCCTCACCAAAGAATACTAATGATAACCTGGGGGAGAGAATAGGCAAGACACCCACGAAATGCTCCCCCCCCCACCCAGTACACATCCTTCTCAGCAAGCCTGTCTGCCGTACTTCCGGAACATTCTCTCCGCCCCCTCGTGTGGGCTTGTTAGCGTTTCCAGCACCGAGCCAGACACAGGCCAGCCTCCCACTTACAATCCCTCCCCCCGTGACATCCTGGTAGCGCCCCCCCCCCTCCCTCTCCCTATTCTTGGGGCTGCCCCCTTTCCCACAACACCTCACCCTCCCTCGAGCGCTCGGTCACAGAATGTTCTGGTACAGCTGGGTTAGGTGTTTTTGTCAGGGCGCAGTCCCTGGAGACGCTCTGACAGTCATCGCAGTGGAGATGATCATTACCCCAGCTGGCAAATGAGACCGTTTCCACCTAGATTATCCGCTTTGGCGGTATTCGCTGGGCTTGCCATGCAACGGAGGGCGGAATGGAATTTTAAAGGGATCGATCGTTCACGGAATATGGGCATGACGCTTCCGGGCGGTCCAGCTCTCCCCGAATCTCTTATCTGTGTGGAAACAGCTTCATTCCTCTGATTGAGCTCCATCCGCCTGCCACCTATTCAGCTCGACCATCCTGTTAGGCTCTGCCAGATCCTGGTTAATCTTTCGAAATTCCTTTCTTAGAGGAGCCGGGTCTAAAAACGAACAAAACATGGTTTAAAAACAGTGTAGAATCACAACCCTGAAATGAAATTCTGATTGACTGCGCAGGACTTGTTGATCAGAGGTGGGTTTTGGTTCCTTGTTACCCAGAAGGGTGCTAATGAATAGCACAGGTCTGTCACTAATGATGGTTAACTGCAGAAGTGAAAAAAACATCATGATAATGCACCACTGGGGGGTGGGGTGGGGTGGGGGGCAGTTTGGGGCCGCCTGTCACAGCGGTGAATCAGCAACGACCATCCGGCCAACCAACCAACCCACTCAGCCCCCCCCTTGAAGTTTACAGGGCATCCAGGACCCCGTGGAAC